AAGAGAGGGAAAAACAAAGAAATAATGAATAAGAATGGCAACAAACAATTACCTATCAATAATAATCTTAAACGTAAATGGATTAAATGCTCCAATCAAAAGACATAGGGCAGCTGAATGGATAAGAAAACAGTATATATATATGCTGTCTACAAGAAACTCATCTCATAACAAAGGAATCACACAAATTGAAAGTGAAGGGATGGAAAACGTTTTCAGGCAGATGGAAATGAAAAAAAGCTGGGGTAGCAATACTTATATCTGACAAAATATACCTCAAAGTGAAGCCCATAACAAGAAATAAGGAAGGCCACTTAATAATACTAAAGGGATCAATACAAGAAGAAGATATAACTGTGGTAAACATATATGCACCTAATAGAGGAGCACCCAAATACTTAAAAAAAAATTTCTGGAAGATATCAAGGGAGAGATCCACAGCAATACAATCATAGTAGGGGAATTTAATACCCCACTGACATCACTGGATAAATCTTCTACACAAAAAATCAACAAGGAAACAGCAATCCTAAAGGACTCACTAGATCAGATGGAACTAACAGACATTTTCAGAACATTTTACCCCAAAGTTACGGAATATACATTCTTCTCAAGTGCACATGGGACATTTTCAAAGATAGCCCACATATTAGGACACAGACCAAGTCTCTACAATTTCAAGAAGATTGAAATCATATCAAGCATCTTCGCAGATCACAATGGCATAAAATTACAAATCAACTACAGTAAAAATGCTCAAAAACAGTCAAATACATGGAGGATAAATAGCATGTTATTAAACAATGAATGGGATACCAAAGAGATCAAAGAAGAAATAAAAAACATCCTGGAAACAAATGACAATGAAAAGACAACAATCCAAAAACTCTGGGACACAGTGAAAGCAGTCCTGAGAGGGAAGTTCATAGCACTACAGAACTATCTCAAAAAATAAGAAAAAGTTGTAAAAAGATAGCTAACTATACAATCTAAAGAATTAGAAAGAGAGCAACAAGAAAAGCCCAGAGTAAGTAGAAGGAAGAATAAAGACTAGAGAGTAAATAAATGACATAAAGACCAAAAAAACAAAAAAACCCCAAAAAACCCAACCAAAAACAAAAAACAATACAAAACATCAAAAGAATCAAAAGTTGGTCTTTGAAAGGATAAACAAGATTAATGAACCTCCAGCCAGGCTCACCAAAAAACAAAGAGAGAGGGCCCAAATTAAAAAAAAAAGAGAGAGAAATGAAAGAGGTGAAGTAGCAACCAACCCCACAGAAATGCAAAGGATTGTAAAAAATACTACAAACAACTTTATTCTAATAAACTGGATAACCTAGATAAAATGAACATATTCCTAGAAAAACACAATCTTCAAAAACTCAACCAGGAAGAATTAGAAAACCTGGATAGGCCAATAACTACTGATGAAATTGAAGCAGTAATCAAAAACCTTCCAGCAAACAAAAGCTCTGGTCTGGATGGCTTCACAGGGGAGTTTTACCAAACATTCAGATAAGAACTAAAATCTATCCTCCTTAAACTACTCAAAAAAATTCAAGAGGAAGGAACACTGTCAAGCTCTTTCTATGAAGCCAGCATTACCCTAATCCCCAAATCATATAAAGACACTACACAGAAAGGGAATTACAGGCCATTATCCCTGATGAACAGATGCTAAAATTCTCAACAAAATTCTAGCAAATTGGATCCAGCAGTACATCAGAAAGATCATACACCATGACCAAGTAGGATATATTCTGGGGATGCAAGGCAGGTACAATATATGCAAATCAATAAGTGTGATACAGCACATTAACAGACTGCATGACAAAAATCACATGATCATATCAATTGATGCAGAAAAGGCATTTGACAAAATCCAACACCCTTTTTTAAATAAAAACTCTCAGCAAAGTGCGAATAGAGGGATCATACCTCAACATAATAAAGGCCATATATGACAAACCCACAGCCAACATCATACTCAATGGGCAAAAACTAAAACCATTTCCCCTAAAAACAGGAACAAGACAGGCACCCACTTTTACCACTCCTGTTCAACATAGAGTACTGGAAGTGCTAGCCATAGTGATCAGAAAAGAATAAATTAAAGGCATCCAAATTGGAAAAGAAGAAGTAAAACTGTCATTATTTGCAGGTGACTGCTGGAGGCTAATTCCAGCATGTCATAATAAATGCAAGAAGTTCATCAAAAGGTTGATGGAACTTGAGGCTTCATCAGGACTGAATCATATCACCTGCTGCTGGAATAGCTGAAAGCATTTCCCCAAACCTGAAAATCTGCATGTTATTGCCTGCTGCCAGACAGCTGAGGGCAGTTCCCCCAACCTGATGGTCCTTTATTGTTTACCAGGCCTTACCTTTGATATGTAAGGGTGTCCCAAAATTCACGCAAGAAGTAATTTTGATAGAAAACACAGGTTTATAATTAAAAATTGTAAATTTTTTATTGACCCATAAAGTATACAGTATAGGGTTATATATGGAATAGCATATCGGGTAAATGGCCACCACGGCTTTGCTGGCACATACGCACTCTTTTGTTGAAATTTTCCATGACTGTTTTGCATAAATGTGGCTGAATTTCGTTGATACAGTGCTCAATTTCCTCCTTCAAGGCGTGGGTGGTCGTGGGCTTGTTGGCATAAACCTTAGACTTCAAAAAACTCCAAAGAAAAAAGTCCAACAGCATTAAATTGCATGATCTGGGTGGCCAATTCTGATCACCAAAACGGGAAATTACACAACCAGGAAATGACTCATGCAGTAATTGAATTGTTTCTCGGGCTGTATGGCATGTGGCACCATCTTGTTGAAACCACATGTTGTTCACATCCATATCTTGCAACTTAGGCACAAAAAACTGGATTATCATGTCGTGATAGCAAGCACCATTAAATTCAGATCTTGCGTGAATTTTGGGACACCCTTATATCTGCTTTGCAATAGGGCAAAATGTGGGAATAAAAAGCCCTGGGTGCGGAGATTCCAAGAACTAAGTTACTAAAGCTATGCTCCATCTGGCTTCCCCCAAAATGCTTTCCAAATTTATATTTAATGTCTAGTTTATTCAATTTACTCGCAGCCCCTTCTCCAGATTCCTGAACTCTAGTAGATGCAAGATAACACCCCGGCAGATGACATGACATTGTACATAAAAAAACCTTAAAGACTTCATCAAAAACTACTAGATTTAATAAATGAATTCGGCAACTTAGCAGATACAAAATTAACACCCAGAAATATGTGGCATTTTTATACACCAATAATGAACTCACAGAAAGAGAAACTAAAGAAACAATTCCATTTACCACTGCAACAAAAAATTTAAGATACCTAAGAATAAACTTAACTAAGGAGGTAAAAGACTTGTACTCAGAAAACTACAGGATGTTGAAAAAAAGATAGAATAAGATATAAACAAGTGGAAGAACATAACGTGTTCATGGATTGGTAGAATTAACATCATTAAAATGCCCATACTACCCAAAACAATCTATAGATTCAATGCAATCCCTATTAAGTTACCAACAGCATATTTCACAGACCTAGAATGAACTCTCCAAAAATTCATCTGGATTAAAAAAAAAACACCCAAATAACTGCAGCAATCCTGCGAAAGAAGAACAAAGTCGGAGAGATCATAATACCAGATATCAAGCTATACTACAAAGCCACTGTAATAAAAACATCCTGATACTGGTGCAAGACCAGACATATAGGCCAATGTAACAGAACAGAGAACCCAGAAATTTACCCAAGCCAGTCTTCTCAATTAATATTTGACAAAGTGGGTAAGAGCGGAGTCAAGACAGTCTCTTCAATAAATGGTGTTGGGAAAATTGGTCAGGTACATGCAAAAAAATGAAACTAGACCACCAACTTACACCATACACAAAAATAAACTCAAAATGGATAAAGGACTTAAATGTAAGATGGGAAGCCATAAAAATCCTAGAAGAATCCATAGGTAGCAATTTATCAGACATAAATTGCTACCATTTAATGTGGCTTACTGTGAGCCACATACTGTGCTAAATGCTTTATACATTTACAAAGGTAATCTTACAGCATTCCTATGGAGTAAAAGTTACTTTGGCCCTATTTTATAAATGTGGAAGTAAAGGTTAGAGGTGTTAATTAATTTACCCTAACCTGCACAAGGTAAATGGTGAGCGCAGTATTCTAACTGGGGTCCATCTGCTTGGTTAGCTATGGTTGTGTAATAAACTACTCAAATCTCTGTGACTTTAAACAATAACCATTTTATTATCTCTCACGATTTTACGGGTTGACTGAACTGAGCAGGGTGATTCTTTGCCCTACAAGATGTCAACTCTAAGTGGTAGGGGGAAGTGCAGTGTCTGAGATGGTTCATCACAATGCTGGCATTCAGTGCTGACTTGTCTGCTGGGAGCTCAGATAGAGATTTTTATTTCAGATATTGTAATTATATCTTCATTTTATGTAAAATTAAAATAATTTAGTCCTAATGGTATTTATCTAGATGGGTTCCACACAGAACTTTTTGTTTAAAAGTTTTATTTCATATATATTATTCCATATTTGTATATATGTAATTTATTTCCAAACAGAAGTATTTTATCTTAATAACCCAAAATATTTAAACTGTTTCTTCTACTAATACTGAAATTTAGGCAGCTTTAGAAAAAGTGAATAGCTTATAGAAATATATATATATTCCATATATATATATTCCTTTACTTTTGATTCATTACTTCAAGTTAAATTAGCAAATGATTTAAAGGTAATAAATACCGTTTCAAAGTTGTTTGGTGACCAATGCAAACTCTGACAATGTCATAGCTTAATATCAAGACTCTGAGAGACAATATCAGAAGATGATATCTGAACTAAATTATCCCCTTAATAGCTATAGTAATTAAGTTTTTTTAAATAAAAAGAAATGAGATAAATACATAAAAGAAGTAATAAAAGAAATCAGTACTTACTTTTTGTGACAACACCTTCTAGTCGGATGATATTTGGGTGGTCAAACTGACCCATGATACTAGCTTCTCTTAGAAAATCTCTTCTTTGCCGATCCATGTGGCCACCTTTCAAAGTTTTGATGGCAACTGGGATCTCCCTTTTCCCTGGTGTCTTCAAACGCCCACTACAGACTTCTCCAAATTCTCCTTAAAATATGAACAAAAGTAGTTATTTGTTTAAACAGAATAGTTATGTTCCAGAAGAGATTGAGTTGTTACGCAACTTTTTTTTAATGCGACGGCTCTCAAGTGTGTCATTTTCACATGGAGAGTTCTTTCTTAAAAATTAAATTTGTAATGACAATATACTTGGTCAGCATCATTTATAATGAATAGCAGAATGCATTTTCATATGTTGTTCCACAGGAACTACCATTAAAGATCCCTGATCTGCTGAGAAATTATGAATAACCCAATAGGCGATGCTAATGTAATTCTATGCAAAAGCAAACACTGCATAATGTTTCCTGTTCCTGTTCTCAATACTGATATATGGGTCAAATATCTGCTCTATTCGGGGAATTCATCAGGCATACATAGTTGAATTGATCCCACAGGCCATATGCCTTGGCTTCACTGCCATTAGAAATCAATGCTAGGGTCAATTTGTATATGAACATATTGAAAAGACCATACTAAACTCAACTATAATAAGTCATTACACAGGGCAACTTATAAGTCAGATGTTTGGAATACAGATACAGTAAGTTCGGCAGACAATGACTCTATTGGACAGATTAAATAACAGCCAAATACTTATCACGAATTCACTACATATATATCAAGTGCTAGGGTGCTCTGAATTTCAAAGTATATAACTTGGTCTCTGTTCTCAAAAGTTTATAATCTAGTAGGAGAATCTTATAAACGTAAATGAAACAACTTCAGAACATAAGAACCAATCCCTGAAAGTGCTGTATTAAATAAGAATGGCGAGAGCTTGAAGACTTCCCAGAAGAGGTGGAAGTTTTGCTGGACCTTGAATGATGTAGTTACCATTTGGACATTCAAGAAAAGCAGCAACATTGCAGACAGGGATTTATGAAGGGAGTGAAGAAGTGAAGACAAAGATTCGGAGATCAGAAATAGGAAAAAGAACGATGTGGACATTGGCAGTAAGGATACAAGGCTGACTAGAGGAGTTACTGTGGGAAAGGTCAGAGGCTTTCACATTGCAACACAATAAATTAAATAAAGCTTGAAATCCAAGACTTAATATATTTAGAGCCAATTACCTGCATTTACTTAAGAGATGATGCTTGATCCTCAGTTCATCCTATATAATAAAAACATAATATGCAAATCGATCGAAAGGCAGAACGACCGGTCGCTATGATACACACTGACTACCAGGGGCAGACGCTCAATGCAGGAGCTGCCCCCTGGTGGTCAGTGAGCTCCCATGGAGCAGCAAGCCCAGCTTCTGACTGGTGAGCGCAGCGGTGGTGGCAGGAGCCTCTCCCGCCTCTGCTGCAGGCGGGGCGGTAAGGAGCAAGGGCTCCTGGACTGCAAGAGCCCTGGACTGCGAGAGGGATGTCTGAGAGGGATTAGGCCTAAGCCAGCAGGCGGACATACCCAGAGGGATCCCGGGACTGCGAGAGGGCGCAGGGCTGGGGCTGAGGGGACCCTCCCCCCCGCCCCGCCCCAAGTGCACAAATGTCGTGCATCAGGCCTCTAGTTGATATATAGTGAAGATAATAAAACCTTCTCTATGTCTATAATGTCCCTTCCCTTAAGGATGTGGGAAAGATAAAAAGTGATAATATATGTAAAAGTGCTTCACAACTATGAAGTTCTATTCATGTGCTTTAAGTTATACAAATCTTTGGAAGGGTGAAAGGAATGCCTATCTTCAGTTGGTTTATTACCTGGCAGGTCTGGCCAATAGTTTTATGCAGTGTAAGTTGAAGTTTGACCCTCTAACAAATTAAACTTTTGTAGTACTATAGATTTTGATTATCCAAATTTTCTTTATACCACTTCATTGCAGTCAACTAAATTTTGACTCTACATGAAAATTAACTATCTATCTATCTATATATATATATATATATATATATATATATATATATATAATTTGAGAATATGTTTTTTGATTTTAGAGAAGAGAAGGGAGAGAGAGAGAAACATCTATTGGCTGCCTCCCTAACATGCCTTGACTGGGGATCGATCCCATAACCTAGGTATATGCCCTGACTGGATTATTGAACTGGCAACCTTTTTGGTGTAACCAATGCTTCAGGCCTCCCAGCCATGGTGATGCTTATAATTTTTAAGTGAAAGAAAAACAAAACAAAACAAAACAAAAAACTAGGAAGGAAACAGATCAAAACTTTGCTTACTAAATTATGTATAAACACATCCATTAAAAATAGAAAGCAGTCTAATAAGAGAGTTTATTTTCTATATATTAAACAAACAAGCAAACAAAAAACACTGGCTAGATAGAATGCGGTCTTTAACTTCAGTGTATATGATTTTACAAATCTTGTATCATTTAACATCAAAACCAGAATAATCTTTTTTTACTTCTGGTACTTTCAATTGGTATGTTTACAGGAAAAGAAGCATAGCATTTGATTTTTTAAAAATCCTCACCTGAGGATATTTTTTATTGATTTTCTCAGGGAGAGAAGGGGAGGGGGAGAGAAAGGGAGAGAGAGAGAGAGGGAGAGAGAGAGAGAGAGAGAGAGAGAGAGAGAGAGAGAGAAAGAAACATCAATGTATGAGAGAAAAATCAATCAGGTGCCTCCTGTACATGGCCCAACCATCGAACCTGCAACCTTTTTAGTGTACAGGACTACACTCAACCTACTGAGCCACCTGACCAATCTTTCATCTTTATTTGTAATAATGTTTTCAATTTTTAAAAGATTTTTCTCTTGGATATAAAGAATGGCAATTGATAAAAATTTTCAACATTTTTCTATTAAGGCTTTGAACCTTGAGAGAAAAAAAATGTGCATATGTTAAAGTTAATGCCCAATGCATCCCGGTCTACTAAGATCCTTGACATTTCTTCTTAGATCACTCTAGTTTGTTGTAATACATATCTAGAACAAAACAAACATTTTTCTTCTCTTTTTCTTTCATATTGCCTTAATAAATCTGTTAGTACATAAAAAGATTCAGCAGTATTTAAAAACTCTTCACCCGTTAGGACCTCACAATCCAATTGATTTTCTGTTAACATTTCATAGTAATTCAAATAAAATGCTAGGTATAGTGAAATAAATAGAGAACCCTCTGTTGATATTTTATCAAGATAGACAGAGTGGTAATTTTCTTTGGTTTTCTGTTGTCTGAAATTCATGTATCTTATTAACACCAGGCAGGTGTTTTCTTTATGTAAAGCTTTTCATGATCAAGCTGTTATCACACTTATTTCAGTGACACTAAATCTGGTTGCCTCAATTAACAATCTGAGACTTCTGGTGCATTCTTAAGGCAAAGTCCAAAAAATTCAGTCACAGAATGTATTAAAACCTCTATCCACGGTAGGCCTGGAAGTAGCAGGCAGAGAGGAAAAAATATTTTAGATTAAATGTATACTTCCAGACGGCGCCAAAGACTGATCTATTATATGATTGTCCTGCACTAAGAGAAGAATTATAAGAAATAATTCTTCAATATGACCTGCTAACATTTATGTGTACTGGTTAGTTCATCATTAACTCATTTACTATAGGGAATGTGGTGTTAACTACTTTTTATTTTATTTTCCAAGACCTTGTCACCATCATTATTAAAAGTAAAGCACTTATACAGTGCTTATCACAAGAAAGATCTAAAAACTAAATATATATTTTAATCTCAACAACATACCTCTGAAGTGGGTACCATTATTATCCCCACTTTACAGATGAGGAAACTGAGGCACATGAACTAAATAACTTGTCCACAGTGGTAGAGGTATAATTTGAACCCAGACAGTCTGGCTCCAGAGTCCTTGCCTATCACCACTATTCTCTGCTGTCTGAGGTGTTTATCATTGTTAATATTTTCTTGTTTTGGTTTGTTAAATTTCCAATTGGTAACAATGGTGTCTTTAAACCAACTATTGTATAACATTCGAGCACGTCGATTGATATGCACAGGGCGCGGAGTGATAAAACCATATATTAGACATTTTTCACTATAAAATAAAAATGGAGACCTAGCTCAAATATGTTGTCTATTAGATGGTCTGGGGGAAAAATCACTGCAGTCTATCTAGTTTCAAGCGAGTAAAGAACATTATATCTAGGATCATTGATCTTCTGCCACTGACAGCCCACTCACTGACTAACAACCGCGGTATCTCCCTGGATGGTGGCAAACCTTTTTGGACAAGCAATTTTGTTGTATAACATGTAGAGTCATAGTAAAATATCAACTAGTATTGGGTTTTCCACATAAAGTGTGGGAGGATGGGGGCAGTGAGGGACGGCCCCTGTGGAGAACTACCACACCACGATCCCCCGGAGGCTTTCCACAATTGTACTCCCCATGTTCTAAGGTTCTGGTTTTGCACCACCTCCAACCCCTTGAGAGTCACTGAAGCAAAGAGCCTCGCTCTTGATGGTTTTTAAAAACATGCCTCCCAGGTGTAATGGGTGTTTCCTTTTCTTCACACTTGCTGCTTCCCTCCTGGGGGAATGCTGCCCACAAGTTTCCTCCTCCCTCTCTTGCCTCCACCCTCCTTTGCCCTTCTCTATGTGGATGGCTTCTCATTATCAGTAAAGGCGACGGTTTGAGGTCCCTCTTGCAGAAAACCTTCTCTGATCAACCCATGATTTAATCTCTCAGTACCAGCAGGTCCCTCCAAATGAGAAAGAAAAAAATAGATGCTCTACAGTCAGGAGCTGGCCTTGCTGGCCTCGCAGACATCACACCCACCTTCGCAAGGTTACGCTGAGACCCTGATGAAATGAGACGGAGCAAGGCCACTGCGTAATTCTGCCTGAGCACAAAGGCAAGGTCACAGTGCCAAAGTACTAAACAGTTCCTCCTCTCTTGGCTAAAATGAGTAACTGCGAATTCTTTGCCAAGTACAACCTCCTCCTTGTTTTAATGTCCCTTCCTCTAGATAGGATTAATTAAGATACCAGATACTGTGGTTAAAGTCCTAAAATCAAGGCCCAGTATTACATGCTGCTTTCATATCT